GTTACGGTTAGGTACGGTAACGGTAAACGGTAAACGGTAAAGGAAACGGAAGGAACGAACGTAACGTACGTTACGTTACGTTAGGTTGGTAGGTAGTTAGTTACTTCGTTACGTACGAGAGAGAGAGAGAGAGAGAGAGAGAGAGAGGAATTTTAGAGTAAGAATCTAATGTGCTTTTTAAACAGATGGACAAGGATGTGATTCTCACCACCAAGTAGCAAAGCAATACAAAGAAAAAACAAGCGGTCAATCAATGGCGGTGACTTTTTCCAAGTGAGCAATTTGATTGGAAGAAGTCGAAAATTTTTGCTTAGACTTGGAATCTAGGAGTTCGGATTTCTAAAGAGGGTCTTCACTGTAACTTGTGATTGAAATGGAATTGATGCTCCATCCATCTCCATTGTTGTGCGCCACTGGGTTAGAAGCCCTGCTTGCTCCATTGGAGTTGCAGGGCAACTTAGGCTCAGCACACAGGTTCCATGCTACTTTGCTTACTCAATGCTATGCAGATGATATGGTGGGTGCTCTAATAATTAATTGGAACATTTTAGATGAGGTCATAATCCAGTGGTGTTCCTTTTCAAAAATCCATCTTAGAGATGGATTTAGGATTTGAAAGACATCCCAAGTTGTAATAGGTGCATTTCCTCTTTGGATCCATGATTTTTGTAACTTACTAAATTAGTACAGACCTGATAATATGGGAAACTTTTGAAATAAATGGTGATGAATGGTAAAAAATAGAACTACATCACTAGCACAGACCTAGAAGTCTTCGGTTCTAAATCCCTTTCTAAGAACTAGATTATCTTTCTATGAACTACATTATCTTTGCTTGTTAAAAATCCCCACAAGGTTATAGAAAAGGGGGATGTAGTTTTTCCCATCTTTTAAAAATGCCCACAAGGTAATAAAAATGCTCATAGTTATAGAGAAGGGTATACGTCTTTTTTCATGTATTTTATTGTATTGGTAGGTATTTTGTATCATATGTAATATTGTTTAATTATTTAACATTTTTAATAATCAATAATAACAAATTCAACCACCTAGCGACCTAGGCAGTGTAGGGGGCCAATCACACGAAGTAGAGCCTAGGCAGGGTCTAATTCAGTTGTGTATCTGGGTGCCCGCCTATGTAGATCACCTAAGCTAGGTGGCCCGAGGGTACACCTTGGCCGTGGGTGGAAAAGGGACCTCTGGAAAATGTCGATTTCCCATGAAAAATGTCGATTTCCCACCAAAAGTGGGGAAAAGGGTTTTATAGGGTATTTCAGCCCTTTAATATTTATTTATGTTGAGGGACAGTCACTTGATGTGACGATAAAAAGGCTGGGCTAGCCGGCGCAAGAGAACAGTTTCGAATTATGAGAGTGGCTATTTTGTACATAAAAAGCAAAAGGTTGGGACCATTTTTAGCTCACCCCTCTTGGGATGATGGGACCCTATATAGGTGGGATCAGTACTGGGTTATGCCCTTTAATATTTATTTATGATGATTTGGAGCTTGAAAGACACCCCCCAAAAACAAGAATTTGTAATTTTTTGAAGATCATAAAAAATTCAAATTTTTTATTTTTTGCAAAATTGAAAAGTATTCAATCAAATACTTTTTGAGACTTGATGTGGTTGTAAAAAATGACATTTGGTAACCAAACACTGATTCGAGCTAAGTTTGATTGGGTTTTGAGAGGTTGGTGTATTTCATTTTGTTGGTTTCAATTTGGTTATTGTGTATGTGGAATGTTTTCCATTTTTCATTTATGTGATTTGTAATGCAAAATTGACATAATGGATGAATCTTGGGCAATTTTTCTCTCGTTAAATATTTTAGATTTTTTGTCATTCAATTTCATAGTTGAAACTCCAAAGCCATGTATATTTAAATTTGAACTGCGCAATAAAATAAGAACAATTGTTTCACGTGGGCTGGACTGTATTTCTACAATATGTTGTTTAAAGGTATAAAGCATCCATTTTAAAGATGAATGCAAATACTTAGTCCATCTAAAAACAATTGTAAATGATGGTTTAAATGTTTTCTTAATAATGATCTTCATGCTAAAGATTATATATTCTCTAAAAATTAGGATTAAATTATATTTAAAAAATATATTTATTACCAAGCCTGCATTTCTACATGTGCGGGCTTGCCTGCATGCTAACCGTATCCATAAAATAACATACAAAAAATTATGAAAAATATTCTTTAAAAAAGAAAGTAGATGTTCTATGTACACAATCATGGGGGCTAAGTAACAAGTAGAACGCCTCAAATATTCCCCCTCGCCCCAAAAAACATTTTGTTTGCAGGCAACAAAATTTCCCATCTTGAATATTGCTCTGCCATCTTGAATATTGTTCATAATGTCTAGTAACTTTTAATTATTTTTGGCTAGAATATGTGATTTTTAGGCAATTACTTTGCATAAACTAAAAAATATTTTCAAACAAATGAACTTACATGCAGAACTGCATATGGGTTTCCAGCGAGCCTTAATGTATGCTACCAAATAATAGATAATAAGGATTAAATTTAGGGGTTGTCTACAAAAAGAACATTTATATATAGGATTGTATACAAATAAATCATTTACTTTTTTTATGTAAAAATGTAACAATTATTCCTATTCATTAGATGGCTTAGGGTAAGTCACAAAGTTCGAGAAATTTGTTTTTGAATTTTGAGTCTATTCAATGATATTTCTACAATCGCCCAATTTGAAATCCAAAGGACATGAATGATTGTGACTTTTTTGTACAAAAATAAATGGTCTCTCTGCTTACTTTTCTATATCATAAGTGACCCATCATCTGTTTGATCTAGATTTGATTTCTCATGATATTCTATATTTAATTTTTTATACAAATTATATGAATATAAAAATTGGTAATAAGGTTCACCCAAAAAAAATGTAACAAAAATATTTTCAAAAAAAAGTGACCAAACTATCCCTAAAACTCTTAGGGGCATTTTGGTTATTTTAGTTTATCACTAATATTTTTTCTAGCATATTTTTCATAGGTGCGAACTTAAAAGAGGGTTAGACCTGGGGTGGCAATGGACTCGGACCTGACCCATACCCGTCGGGTATAGCCGATAAGGGTCAGGGTATGGGTCCAAGTTTTGGACCCACGGGTAAAGTCCGGGTCCAATAAAGAATACCCGGATAGTCTCGGGTCCAGGTATGGGTCCTACTATACAAGACTCGGTGGGTACCCGAATCCAAATTTTTAGATTACCCAAAGGCCAAAGCCCCAATCCTAATATCCTTTTAATACTTGTTGTCTTCTCCTAGTTCTCCAAACGGCCAAACCCCATCACCATCCTCCCTCTCTCAGTTTATTGGAGACATAGTTATTTTTTTGGATCTCAAATGTCTATCTCTCTCTCTCTCTCTAATCACCCACCTCTCAAAAATTAGTTCTTCTTTGTTCACCATTGTAGGCTACAGAAAAGGAAGCTCATAGGGAGGGTGGCAATAGACCCATCCAGACCCAGGACCCGACAGGTATGGGTATGAGTCCAACTTTTGGACCCGATGGGTCGGGTCCGAGTCCAAAACCTGGACCCAAATATATTCAGGTGTGAGTTCGGGTCCAGCCGGACCCGACCCATTGCCGACCCTAGTTGGACCCTCCAATTTGGTGTCACTATTGCTAGAAAAAATTTAAAATAAAATATTGTTTTGTGATCAGGGTCATCTTAACTGTCTATTTAGATTTAAGCCTACGAGAGAGGTGTCCTATAAGACTTTCCTAAACCCAGGGGTGTATAGAAAGCTTTCCCATTATAAGCTAGCCTATTAGTTTTGGGATTGTCTACAAAGAGGCCGTTTATCTTTGGGTGCAGTTTCCATACGAATGCCTCCGTAGGTGTAGAGGTACGGTGCCTTTCAAATTTTATCATGGTATATAATTTTGATATAAAATGTTATTAAGATTATCTTAAAATATGTTTTTATATCTAATTATAAAATTTTAAATTTCAAAAATGGTTAAAATCAAGTAGATCTATAAACATATGAAAATCTTGAAAATGAACAGTGTAGATAATATGTTGTAAAATGCATTATT